GCAGCAGCCCTGCGTTCCGGCTGCCCGGGGGAGGCGGGGCTGCCTCCGCCCTGCGATTCACCCTAGGACATCCCACGCGAGGGACACGGAGGAGGCGGTGCCTCAGCTCCCTGTGCTCCCGGGGGTGGGCGCGGCAGCGCCGTGTCCCCACAAGCCTCGCACCCTGTCGCCCGGGCCCCCGGGTGTCAGCCCGTGTGCGGCTCTGCTGGGCAGCAGCCCGTGTGCGGCTCTGCTGAGCAGCCGTCACCAGCACCGCGGGGAAGGCCGAGCTGCTGACTTGTCTGGTTGGTACATTTGTCTTGTAGCTCCTGGGTCAAGCTGCTAGAAACATGGTGATGCAAGAAGATGCCATCCTGCACTCAGAAGATGTAAGTTGTGCTTATCTGCTAGAACAACTACAATTTAACTAGTTAACTAGCGTTTAACTGGAACAACTAGTGTCTATAGTGAACAGGAGGGGAGAAGGGTTATAAGCATGGGGATGTAGACATGTTGCTGGAGTACTAAAGTGAAATGGATGAGTTCAGGCAGCAGGCTGATGGCCAGTGTCATTTACTGCTTCCACAAATTCACGTTTGCTGCTGGCTTTCCAGTCTCCCAGAGCACAAGCCAGTGTGCTTAAGCTGTGCCATCTACACTGGAAGGCTCAAGAGACCATAGGTTGAAACCAAGCACTAAGTGTCTGTGCCTGCCACTGCTGGCAGATACCGGTGAGGGTGCTTTGGAGGTAGGACAGTGGTGGCCATGCTGGAGAAACTCCCTGGGACATTGTGTCATCTTGCCCTGTGATTCTGCTGAACTGCTTCTGTCAGACATTCATTCTTTGTCTTGTTCTCCACAGAGTTTAAGGAAAATGGCCATAATAACCACACATCTACAGTACCAGTAAGTAATGGTCACCATGTTCTCTCTGGGGAGCTGAATGGATCCTTTGATCCCTTACTGTTCTACTTAAAGACTGTATGGAGCCCACTTACACCAACTGGAGCTGGGATCTTCCAGCCCTCTCCAGCTCTGCTGGTATGGCACAGACTGTTCTAGGGTGGGAGCTCCTGTTTTCTATTCACTGCGTCTCCTGTGAGATCGTGATACATCTAGGGCTAAGAGGAAGAAGCCAGGACTTAATCCATAAACACACTGGCATTTTTGCCTCCTAAACCTTTGACCAAGTCCCTTCAACATAACATTAACCCTGTTGCTGAGACTGTGTTTTCCTAACACTCTTTTTGTCTCTTTTTCTCATCTAGGCAGGAAGCAATTGAGAAGAAGTGAGTACCCAGCCATGCCAGGAAGACCTGGGAGATGCATGTAGAGGTTGATAGGAAGGGAAGAGTGATGGAGCAGGGTGGGGTAAAAATGAAAAGGATTTTTCAGCTGCCTTTGAAGCAGATGTTGGTCCAGCAGGGTAGTGTTTTAGTGCTGTGAAGAGACAGGAATTAGGGTAAAGGGATGATTTATTCCAAAACTTCTATTTGTTTCATTAACATGATTGATGGATCCTGTCAGGGTATCTGTAATAATAGGAGATGAGGGTGATGTAAATCCATTATGGGCTTGATTATGGGTGCATGAAGTGAGGTTTGCCTCGTGGGCACACAAGTGCATTGTGGAACCCCAGGGTTTCTCTTTCCTGCAGTGCCAGTGCTAGAGCTGTTCTGGTCCCCTGGGTGCAGGCTGGGCACAGCACAGTCTGGGGAGCAGATCTCACTGTGAACCTCTTTTTGCTTGGTCCACAGTGTTGAGCAGTCGTCAAACCTCCAGGACCAGCTGCGTCACTTGCTGAAATGAATCGTGTTGCTGAAGCATCCTTTCCTCTCCTGAGCCTGGAGTTCAGGCCTGTGTCTGGATGATGCTGGACATCAGCTGGGATATGTGCAGACTCTGTGTTTCTGAGCATGTGGGCCCATCTCACGTACCCCCACCTACGTCTCTGCTCCAGAACACTTGCCACCACCTAACTGAAACACACATGCCTGAAGCTTTAGTCCCCCCAAACAACTTCTGTGTCTGCTTACTTCCCATGTAGCATGAGGTGCTCAGCCCATCCAGCACCCCAGACACACTGCTGGCCATGTGCTTGAGATTATTTGTCAGGCCTGAATGGGGTACTCCTGGCCAAAGTCATGTGGCCACAGGGTGACTTTCCTTCCCATCTCTTACCTCTGCTCAGTTAGGTGCCATCTGTGAACTGATGGAAGAGAGCTGCTTGTGCCTGCCTGAGACCAGCAGTCATAGAGCCAGAGGTTTTGTACAAAGTTGTGTCCACTCCCCCCTGACCCTGCAAGAAATGCATAAACAGAGCTGCGGGGTTTTTTAAGTACAGGTGCCTGCAGTTTGACCCTGGTCCATATTTACACACAGGTGGCATGGAGTGTGATTTATTTAGGGCATGTTAATCAGTGGGAGCTGCAAGTGCCTGAGTGGGCGAGAGAGGTGCTTCAGCACAAACTGAGGTGCCAGTTCCAGGCCAGGCTTGGTGAAAGTGGGGATCTGGGGAATCGCCTCTGCCACTGGTCTAGCTGGACATGGTTTGGCCAGCCTCCTGCTTGGAGGTTATCTTCTTTGACCCTCTGCCAGGGTTTGGAACATTATCCATTTGCCAGCCCATCTGCACTGCCTTTGGCCTTCAACTGCATTCCTCTTCCTGGGCTGCCACTCCAGCTCTTGATGGAGCAGCCTTGGCTGTGGTATTTGTATCTGCTTGGGAAGGTATCCAAAGGCCTGGCTGGGATGCAGGAGCACACCAGCTGATGATTGTCATTTCAGCACTGCTCTGTGTTGGAGGACTAGTTTCTGGCTCCTATTCACATCCCAGGGAGCAAGATCAGGCCTAGGCTATAAATACTGTGTCTTGTTTTTCCTAAGTCGCTTATCTGGACCACTTGCAGCATATGGGAAGCACTTGTTAGCCTGAGTGTGCTTTTCAACAGCTGATAGGACAAGGCAGGCTGAGAGCAGGCATCGTCCTGCCACGTTCCTGTTCAAGTTGTGCAGCTAAGTGCTGCAGGGTTTTGGCAGAGCCTTTTGGGTTGGATTGCACCATCCCCTTCAGAGCCACTGTCTATTTGGGCTTTACCTGGTGGCATCCAATCTCCTGCATTGCCCTGAAGTTGCCACTCTTGACCTAGGGGTTGTGGTGGGATCTCTGTGCCTTGAGGGGTCCCAATCCCTGGCCTTGCAGCTACACTTGGGTAATGAGGGGTTTTCCTGAGCTGCTGGAGAGGATGTAACTCGTTTGCTGGGAATAAAAGCTGCCGTAGCCGCCACCAAACTGCAGCAGTCTGTGCTGGGGGCAGCCTGTTTGGGGGGGGCAGGGCAGAGCTGTGTTTGGCCTCTGCTTTGCAGGCACAGTGTGTCTGCCGCAGGTGGCTCAGCGCCCGCAGGGTCCCCGAGGATCCAGAGCAGCCCTGGGGTGTTAAGACTTGGGTCTGCCTGTATTTGGGGTGAGCAGGGAGGGGGTTACGCCATCCAGGTGCAGAGCTGTTGGGGAGTGAGTGGAAGGAGCCGGGGCGGGAGGTTCCGGCAGGGCTGGGCAGCGAGCGAGCGGGGCCCGGCGGCAGCCGGGGCGGTGCGGGGCGGAGCGTGGCTGCAGGGCGCTGGAGGCAGTAAGGGCAGCCCGGGGTC